GGAAACCAAAATAGCAAGTAATCAGGGCTGGCTTTATCCGCATAAGCCTTGTGTGGTGACTAACCCCAACAATTCATACATAGTTAATTGTAATTATATGTTTATACCTCTAAACATTGTAAAAATTACAATTTTTTTAGGGTGTAGACTTTTCTGTTCTTTGCCATTGTCTCTTATTTGATATTTTTAATTGTAATATTTCTACCTTTAATGTAATAGGCCAATGTATATAATGTAATATTTAATATGTGAAACTGAATTTTTATGTAATTTTATGTACCGTATTTTTAATCTTTACACATTTAATTTTTATATCATTTTGTATATTTCCTGTTTTTTTTTTTTTGGTTTTTTTTTTTTTTTGCGGTTCCGACGGCCCTGCCATCAGAAGGACCCCACTGGAAATAAGCCTTCTTCTAGACTTTCGTGGGCTATCCTTGGTGTTTACACTGAATAAATCCAATCCAATCCCATCATTTGAATATTTAGAGTTGCAATACAACAATGTTAGATTCCTACAGTAGTGGCAGGTGACAGATTTAATACTAGAATTAGAGGAAGAATCTGATGGTGGAATGGGCTATAATATTTATGAATTAAAAGACATGACATGAAATTGAAAAACTAAAAAGATGACATAACTAAGACATAGGTATCGAAGTAGAGTTTCCAACAAGATGTGAACAAAATAAGAGAAATTTGAGAAGATAGTGTATGTATATTATAAACTATACAGTATGTTATCAGAATGTATAAAGATATTTTAAGTCAAGAAAGAAAACCATTGTACAATACTTCATATAAATACAGATGGCTTGATGCAAAATGAAAGAAAAATGGGAAGATATGTTGATCAAATCTTAAGTCCCTAAACTAATGTTTAGTCTCAGTCTATATAGTGATTGTTACCATAGTGAGGACACTGTATTTTTCTACACCACTGTTTCATAACTTGTTTAATCATAATGTATGTGGAATTATTTTGAGATGTATTATAACTGAATTTTATCTTATGATATAAATAACATTATTACATTTTAATTTTTCATTATACATTAAAGTGTGCGTAGAAATGGTTGTTATGGTAATGACGTTTTGTTCTACAAACCACTGCATAAATTTCCAAAATTATTTTATATGGAAATTAAAAACCATATTGTGATGCAATATATGAAATTATATTTGAAATTGATTATTAATGTTCTCCTATATTTAGGTTTTATATATTTTAGTGGTAATGATTCACTGTTGGTCTGATAAAATGAAATAAATATTAATAAACATTTTTCATTAAACTTACAAGTTTTCATTAAGTTTGCTAGCAATAGTTGCTATGGTGATTACCTATTTTTAACATTTATGTACACCTTTTTTTAAACAAAGACCGTGTGTTATTTAAAAAAATGTAAAGCCAAATAAACAGCAATTCTAGTGATTTTTATTCATTGCTATGGCGATAACTATCAATATTTTATTCACATGTTATCTTTCATTTATGCTATCTTACAATATTAATATTTACTAAACATCTCTCACGAAACCTTTAATTATATTAATAAATTTCAGGTTTTCATTTTAATAATTTACAAAAAAATAGGATATTTCAATTAGCAACAGTTGCTATGGTGATGACCTTGCTTTCATACTAAATTGTGTTATCTTAGGATATTTAATAAACATTTTTTCATAAATCCTATACTAATTTATTACTATACTTTAGGGCTTCATTATATAATTATTCTATGAAAAAATAGGAAATTCAAATTTGCATAGCAACAGTTGCTATGGTGATTACATGATTTTATACATCAATGTGTTAACTTTGTTCAATAAGAGATGTTTATTATATAAATATATTGTATCTCATGATTTTTGCTTGGTCAATGACAAATGTATGTGCAATTCTGCTGATTTTTCTTCGTTGCTATGGACGATAAAAAGAGTGTTGCTATGCAATTATATTAAAGTTTCAGAATTTTTTTACATAATCCTATTCTACGATAATAATAGATAATTAAGATGTTAAACATATTCATAAAACCTATGAAAATAAAGAATTTAATAACCTTTAATCTTCCTGTATACTTAAATTTCATGAATAAAATAGGAAATTTAAATTTGCATAGCAACGGTTGCTATGGTGATTGAAATTGTAGTTTTTCTAAACGCAAGATTCATTTTCGATAATTAACGAATATTTTGAGTAAGTTTCATTTTTTATATTATTTAGCTAAAACTATAATTTAAAGCGGAAAAATGGCGTTCATCTTGAATGCGTAATTTGGAGGGTGATCCCCTAATGGGAATTTGGGTAATTTTGAGTTCTGAATTTCTCAAGACCTATATTTTCAGAAAATATCAAAATTAGCCGGTAATGCTTCCATTCCCACCTCGACGATTTTTAGAGGACTTTTTGGCCATAATCTGCTCGCCTATACGGACCGTCACCAACATTTAATAATTTCTTTATAATCTTTTCTTGTTATTTTCAATTATGTCTGTGCAGCCGTTTTTTAGATATGCCGCACAAAATAAAAACACACACGAAAACGTTGCGCACACACACACGCACACGAACTTACACAACTGAAAACATATCTCCTGGCGGAGATAATATAAAAAAACAGAGGGAGATTTGAACCCTATACATTCGATTAACTTTAGACATAATAAGTACACCCCTTAATACAACAACTAGCGGATCGATCGAATCGACTATATACAGATATGGCGCAACAGGGCGAGGATTTGTAATCTCAGATTATCTTGTTCGTACGTTTGTACTGCTCGTTGTTGGTTTGTTCGTTCATTAGTTCTTCCGCCTATCTATGGTCATTCATTCATCAATTGATTCATTCATCCATCCATCCATCCAATAATACACCCGTTAATCCATCTATCAATCCATCTCTCACTGCTAATCATACAGTGATCAGTAGAGAATCGTGATCCTACCAGATCTCATTTTTTGTTGTTTATTTCATCCAATCTATTTATGCAATTGTACTTAGTGAACCACTTCACTACACCTGAAGCCCATCAATTTCGGTAAAAACTCATGAATAAAAGATATCGCTAGTCACAATCAACTGATTTTTAATTACTGTATTTACTGACTAATATTGCTACTCAACCACCTTTGACAACGCATACAGTATGGCACAGCATTATGATTATGTTTAATGGTATATTAATAGATTTTCCTTAAAAACATGGACATTTATTAAAAACTCTATTAGTACATACTTAATAGTATAACTTTCTCCGTCTTTATGAAAATGATACCACTGAATAATAGATATCGCTAGTCACAATCAACTGATTTTTAATTACTGTATTTACTGACTAATATTGCTACTCAACCACCTTTGACAACGCATACAGTATGGCACAGCATTATGATTATGTTTAATGGTATATTAATAGATTTTCCTTAAAAACATGGACATTTATTAAAAACTCTATTAGTACATACTTAATAGTATAACTTTCTCCGTCTTTATGAAAATGATACCACTGTTTTATAAATCTAATTATTTATATTATATATATTATAATTACGCTTATATCAAAGCTTACAGGCACAATGCAAAACCGACGTCCTCAATAAATGTCTAAAATTCGAAACCTACCGGTATGAAAAAATGCGGTTTTATATGGTACGCCAAAAAGGGAAACTTTTAAACACAATCGGTTAACAAACACCGATTTTCGTCAAGCACAGTCTGTTTTCGGTTTAGAAAAAACATTGCTTTAGCTGCCCCTGACCAGCACAGTGTTGTATTGTAGGCCTAGGACAACCTATTGTAAAACATGTTAATTTGATTGCAAAATGATGGCGAGAAATACAACATATTTTCCCGTACCAATTAACACTGCTGATGTTTCATGTTATTTTAGCGGTTTCTAAATATTTCTATGTTAAGAAAAATGATATGAAATTGATATCAAAACCTGTACTTAAACGCAATTCGCTAAGTCCATGAAGCATGCTATGTAAATAATAAAACACAATTTTACCACTGCATTTTTGACATTACGTAACTAAAGAAATAACTGATCAAGATAATATGCAACATGCAACCTATATTCTTTTAGTAGTCATATTCTTTTACAATTTCACCTACTAGAAGGTATGCGAACGCATCGAGCACACCCTCTAGTTCTATATAAAAAGGATAAATGACTTTTGTCTGTGATATACGCAATATCTTTCAAAACAGACGTTTAGGCCATTGTTCCAGTGTGCGAAATGGCTCGTATGCAGGTTAAATGTAGTACCGGTATACTTTTGGATAAGGACATGTGATTATCTCCCGGTGTAGACTACCTAATTCACACCATTCTAACTGCAACATGTAATCACAGGGCTATGCAACAAAAATCAATCATGTTTACTACAAATTGTTTCTATTTTTGAAACACTGTCTTCTTTTCTTTTAATCATAACTATCCAAACTTTTGGATGAATAAAGTGATGTCTATGTCTATGTCTATTGCCAACTTTTAACTGGTTTTCACCTTGGTTGAAGTTTGCTGCGATATAGATACAACGCTCAACTCTAATATCTAAAGTCACTGAGGCACAAATTCCGATAGAAAACTGCTAAAACACACAAAAATAGAAATCACAACTTATAAGGGACACGTCTTAGGCTCCAGTAGGATAGATGATCCGGTCGTTTTAGCTAAAAATAATGGTGAACATAAAAAAAAAACTAATTAAAGCTTTCATCTTCTTTAACATATCGAAAATCAGCTTTCATATCTTACTAGGAATTTACGCGCTGGGTCATTTAACTTAAGCAAAGTTCACTGCTATAACTTAATTGAGCTACCTTATCAATCTTAAAATAAAACAAATAAATGAAATAAGGTAAAATTGATGTATAAGTAAACTTGCATGCAAAATTTATGGTAGATAATAAAGCATCATATTATAATTTAATCATGTCCCAACATTAGTAAATTTTAATGTTGTTAAAATTTTGAATCTACCAAGCATTTAAATTCTTCTCTGTATTTTACTGGGATTTTATATATGGCTTTATGTTTTTATAGGCTGATTCAATTTTCGCTGATTTTAGTTTTTCGCCAAGGTTCTTGCAAAACTCTCCAGGGGCTGAAATGATATTGAGAATTTCAAACAGATAGACGGTTGGACTTTTCGTAAATTTGTCTAAGTTTTCAATTACTTGGCTATCCATATTAAGTTGTTCAGCTAAACCCCTCCAGTCACGAAGGTTTGCTTCTTTGATGTTCAGTTCCGAGCAAAGTTTGTAGCAGACGTCCTCTGGGAGTTCGTAAACATCCATAGCGCCAAACATTCTTCTGCATGCTAATAAGTCAACTTCACTTCCTCTTGGGTGTAGACTTTCCATTGCCAGCACATTCATATTCTGAAAATATATAAAACTATTAAAATGATCGATACTGTAATAAGGACTCTATGAGTATGACATTGAAACCTTTCAAAAGGTGAGAAACGGAAAATCCAATCATTTTAGCTCAATTTCCTTTTAACGTAAATAGAAACATGAATGTTCCGAAAAAACAAAATGGCACCAAAATTAACTCTTTACCACTTGTGGTTGTGGAAATATAAGGACCTTATGACTACGACATTTGACCTTGACCTTTTGACCTTTCACTATATTTTGAAAAAGTCAAAAATGATTTTTTTGACAACCCTGTACCAATTTCTGGAGCAAATTCTCCTCCAAGTGCATAAAAACTTGGTCTTAAAAGTTATATATATATATATATATATATATATATATCTAGATGTGTATATCTGTGACCCATTAAAATTTGTTCCTTTTCTAGGGTTTTCCGGAATTTAAAACAGAAAGTAGGCCGTCTATAATATTTTAGATTGCGTAATCTAAACATTTCATTAAGTATGTATTTTTTAGATATTTATAATTATATTATTATACTTGCCACAAGTCCCTTTTAAAAAAATTTTAGACTTAATCCGAAAAAACCCCCAAAAAACAAGAAATTCGAGTATGGGACGCCAATTAAATTAGGTATGGTGCGCACTAAGCACAATAAAGTGTAAGTAACCCAAAATTAGAGCCGGGAACCCAGGCTACTATATTTTTTGTTTTAATTAACTAATTTCAAGTTTGTTTTTTTGTCCTGTCTTGTTACACCAGGGTTTATAAGAGTATTTACAGGATTCTAATGCAAGATGTACCTGTTGAATTTGCGAGGTAACAGGATTTACTTCCAGACTTATTTCTTTTTTGCGACCTTCTTGTTTGCTTTTCACTCTACAGTACACAGAATCACTTTGTAGTGAATCTTTGGTTTTGAGACGAAATCGACAAGATGGTGGTGTGCTACCTTCTTCTAGTTCGTTCCATAATTCTTCATAGCTTATTTTCTGGAAGTAATTATTTTCATTTTAATATAGACCTAAAAACAGTCAAACCTATGTGCTGAACTTTGTGATATAAAATAACTCTGATGATTGAATGGAAGGTCTTGGGTCTTGCTGTCTCGCAGAAATGTATCTTCTTTGTTAAATAAGGGTATTACTACATAGTGGAATATATACGGATATTCCATTGTATGGGTGCCTCAAATGAGTTTTGTGTATATCCAAGCAAGGTAATTTAACAAAAGGACGCACATCTCGGGACATCAAAGGTTATAACTCTGGCATCGACATTCTAGGCGCACGTGCGTCCCTACACGCTGAACGTCACAAAAACCATAGCAACCAGACCATAAACCGTCAGCGTACGTGACGATTTACCCACGCGCGTGTTATATTGGGCGTTCGCGTGTTCGACTACAAATTCGTTTGAATGTTTACATTGGAAACGTCAGTCGCGTCTTCGATCTGCTTCGATTCAGCCGCGCGCGCCACATTTCGACGCGAAATTCCCTTGATCGCGTTCAGTGGGAACCGGCCTTTAATAATCACGTCGGCCGACAACTGTCGGGCGCAGTGAGTGTCCAGCTTAAGAGATAGAAGTGTAAACAACACATCTATGGTATACATCTGTCTCTTATACACATCTAGATGTGTATAAGAGACAGATACAATACTATTCCATACATGACACGACGATTCTAATTATGATAATACTGTACCCTTACCATTTCATTTTCATATTCCGATGTCCATCCTTCTTTCAGGTTTTTGAGAAACACTCTTACGTCTTTGCCAGTATTTTGTACACTCAATGTTTTAATTGAATCTAAACGAGTTTCCTGAAGTTCGTGCTGTTCTGCCAGTACAGCCTAAACAACATGTATTCAGACAAATAACATTAACCGATCAAACAATAGTTTGGTGCACTCACTGCGTAGTACGACGGGCGTCTGCCGACGAATTGAACTCCTCTCATTGTGAGCACTATATGACGCGAGGCCATCTGCTGATTAACAGTGGTAGTGTGAACGGATCGTTATTTAACACGATGACGCGCGCGTCGTGGCGTTTCATTTAAGGCCGGTTCCAACTAAACTTGTCAAGCGAAAGCGTCGAGCGTTACGCGGCAAGCGAAGCGAATCGCGCAAAGTTCACAAGCGTTGACTTTCGGTTAAGAATATCTCGCTTCCAATGATTCGCTTGCCTGTTCCCACTGCTGACCGCGCGCAAAAACTAGAAATGGCGGGTGGCAACAGAGAAGGGATTTTGTTTTCGCATTGATAGACGGAGGAAAAGGGCTGTGAGACGAATCAGATAAAATCCTCAGGATTAACATTCCCAAAACTCTATAATGAAATGAAAAGAGTGAATATAAACATATGGTAGTTTTTTTTAGTATATTTATCCAAGGCCTAGCTAGGCCTCCTAAGGGTAGATAGTAGGCCTAGCCTACCCTACCCTACTGTAGGTCTCAGGTAGTAGCAGGGTATCAGAGGCCTAGGCTGGACAGACCTAATACTGGTAGAAAGAGGAGATAACTCAACTCGTCTTTGCAATCCTTTTCCAAGCATTGTCACAAATTTTCTTTACTCCCTTGTCACAGACCTAAACAGGGGTAGCCTACTGTTCCACAGAGTTTGCATGAAACGGACTCATCGGTCATCGCTCGCACATCTGTATCTGTACATTGTTTTGACAATGGTCGTGACTTTATAGTTGACCTTTGACATAAATTGAATCTAAGCCTTGCGATTGGTCTATCGGCCGCGAATTCGCTCGCGAATCCGAAAAAGTTGGTCTTGGATCAACTCTTCTGAATTCGCAGGCGAAGCCTCCGCGACCACCGCGCGCACCGCGTCGAAGTTCGAATATTGGGCGTTCGCGTGTTCGACTACAAATTCGTTTGAATGTTTACATTGGAAACGTCAGTCGCGTCTTCGATCTGCTTCGATTCAGCCGCGCGCGCCACATTTCGACGCGAAATTCCCTTGATCGCGTTCAGTGGGAACCGGCCTTTAATAATCACGTCGGCCGACAACTGTCGGGCGCAGTGAGTGTCCAGCTTAAGAGATAGAAGTGTAAACAACACATCTATGGTATACATAAAGAAATGATAAATAAATATGGAAATATGATCTAAGCCTATTGATAAAAGGTGTTTTTTCCTCACATTATAAGAGATTATCTAAAATTGCTTGAAGAATGTTTTTTCAGTGATATGCAACTTACAACTTTATCATGAGGATTCCAGGCACGAACGTTAAAACAATATGAGTTACTTCTGTCGTAACACTTGCCAAATGTGCAAAAATTGATGAGTTTAGAACCCTCTTGCTGTCGCGTGGCCCCTTTGAATGTAAAGGTAGTGAAATGATTGACCATAATGAAGCAGTGACCTCCCTGAACAAAGCTTATTCCATCACGATCATCACTAATATTCTGCCAGTGGGCACCCGAGTCACTGGAACCTTTAATCATCCCTAAAAACGTCCATTGATTTTCATTTTCGGCACAGTGTGGAAACGAGAGAACGAATGGCGCCTCAAACGATGTTCCCGGTGGCCCACAATGAACAATGGGAGAGATTCGTGTCTCATTTTTCTTTTGAAGTTTCAAGTGTGCATTTTGATCTAAGTAGATATATATCTCCTTTCTGGTTCTGGGAGGAATTGCTCCAGGTGGAATGAATAGATTAACTCCAGCATCGGCAAGAGTTAGGTTGCCACCTTTATTGTCGAATATTCCCGCTGAGAATACGGAGGTTGAAAAATTAATTCGAGTTACATCTTTCAGCTTGTACATTGAAATCTTTTGATCAAATATTCGAAGCATTTTCTCCAAAGCCGTGCCGTGTCCGACATCGTGATCAAGTAGACCTAGTCCTGTAAGAATTAATATTACAACATTACTTGTTTCCTAGTATATGCTTGACGGAATACAATGTAAAATAATTAAAATAATCACCATTACCTCTGCCGGGATAACTGGTAAGGTTGTGTGGAACCTGATCCATCAGCATTGTTGTCCTCAG